ATTATTGACCAGAACCCAAGCAAGATGCACCTGTTTTCTTGGGACCTTAGGGTTGCTGGCCTCTTGTTTTCCCAGCCTGTCTTCTGGGGGAGGGGCCTGCCATGCTGTTACTCGGGCAACCCTGTTTGGGCGGTGTTGCCCTGCCCCCCTGTGGCGGGGGATGGGCTCAGCGGGAATCAGTCTTTGGGGCTTTTGTTCTCTGGCGGCTTTCCCTGGTGGCTTTCCGAGTCTCTTCCGCAAGTCAGAGCAGAAGAGACCGTTTCCAACCCTCTGCCTCAGAGCAGAGAGACCGCAGCCTGTTCTTCAGTGAGCTCTCCAGGCCACACCGTCTCCGTTTCTGTCCATGCTGCTATACACTGCAGCGTCCTGGGTTGTGCGCCCCTCTGCAGCGCTCCCAGGCCTGCCTCCAGGTCAGGGCACATCTCTGCCCTTTGTGTTTCTAAAACCGTCAGTCGTGCGTGCGACCCCAGCGCTCCGGGTTTCGCCCCAGGGGCTGCCGTAAAGTCCTTTCCCCACCGCTACCGGTCTGCAAGTCTGTGCCCCGTCTGCAGCGCTAGCAGCACTCGAGGCTGTAGCTCACCGGCGGTGTAGGATCCACACGTCCAGGCACCCTCCCGCTGTCGTTTATCCTCCAATATCTGCCCGCGGAATCACGGCTCCCCGCTTCGTACCTCAAAACCAACCGCCTGCGATATTCTGTTTGTAGAGATCCAGATCTTCTTACATCTCAGACTGGTTTCGTGGGTGCTCAGAGTGGTCTGGTAGATATCAAGCTCAATTCCAGGGACCAGTTGAAATAGGGTCACCTACTCCTCCACTATCTTTCCCCCCGAATCTAGACCTTAGTTAAAAAAAAAAAAAAGTATATAGAAAGAGGTGACCTCTTTGCCTAAATGTTAATTTTATACTTTGGGGAAGTTGGGATAAGGGAGTTTGTCTCATACTATACCCACACACGGAAGACTTGACAACTCTTGGTGAGTATCAGTTAAAGATGGATAAGCTCTGTCTGTGTGTTGTGGTACACCTCTACTGAGAAACAGCCCCAGAGACATCTGGGAACTAATTGACACTTGTAGCTGGGCTTGGTGTTTTCATGCTGAGCATAAACAATCTCACAGAACACCAACATCAGACGAGGCTGCTTTGCAGCCATGATGAAGTGAGACAAAAATAAAGTTACTCTGTAATCTTGTCTAGATACAAACCAAAACAAGGTCATTATGAAAATCACAAAAGTACCTAACATCCCCCCATCCTGGCTAAAGTGAGTGACCGCTGCTACTTTACCATTACAGCCTTAGCCTTAGTCTAGTCTTCCCTCCTCCCTAGGTAAGATTCATTAGAACAGCAATCCAGAGCAAAGCCCCACTTCCTTGAACAACCTCCAAATCAGCCAATGAGTTTAGTGCTATATAAGTCCTTTCTAATACCTTTTTACTAAAGTTCCCCATGATTCCCCTTGGTGTATGTTCTTTCTCATCATAATGAACAGTAAAACCAACATGTTCAACTACCGTTGCTCCCTGGTAGTCTTTGGCTGAAGGTCATTGACAAGAAAATGGAGTGTCCTTGGAATGTCACTCTAGTAAACAGGTGAATGCTGTCTTCACCCACCCCATACACATACACTATGATATTTAGATTACTAAGAAAGCATATTGTGGCTCTGCCCAGAGCCTAGATAGGAATTATATGGTCAGTTAGTGTTCTTGGTGGCCTCATGGAATGGTGCAGATGTTTTCTAGGCAGTCCGGCTGACTTTTGATACTACCATCTCATTCCTATCCTTCTCCCCTTACAGGGCTCTGGCCGAGCAGGAACCCGCTCTACAGTTCAGTGCCACAGTCGGGGTCAATGCCTTTGTCACCACTCATCTCTCCTTCCTGCCCAAAGGAGAACAGCGCCGAACCCGCCCTATAGCCTGTTCCTTCTGTCCTGAGTTCTCCCACCACGTTGAGTTTCCATGTAACTTGGTGACTCAGCACTGCAGTGGAGAGGCCTGTTTCCTGGCAGAACTGTTGGAATTTGCAGAGGTCACTTTTGCTATTTATCATGAAGATACCAAGTCAGGTGAGCACCAAATGACTAATCACATTCAGAATTAAAAGGGACTTTGTTTTGAATGGTATAGCTCTTCCTAGAAAATGCATGTTGAAATATTTAGCTCTTTGGTCAGTAAAGCACTAAATAATTTCTCATTTTTGTTTGAGTTGACAGGCAGTGATATAACCAGTATTCAGTCATTCAGAGATTATCTGCTTGGAGTAGTAAAGGTTCCAACAAAAGAGCTGCTGGTCAAGAGATCTGGTAAGGGTCCTGGATAATCACTTTCTAATTCTACCCCTTCTCATTTACTTTCCTATAAGAGATCATCTTGCATGGCTCCCTGTAAGGTATGCAGAAGAAAACATGACCCCTAACAAATGCTTTTGAATTCTCCCAGGTACCTTAAAAGTTCTCTGAAAAGTATTTTAAGTCCTCTCCTAATCATTTCAAAAGTCTTCTAACAAAGTAAAGTAGCTCAAAGCTTTGTAACTGTCATCTTACTCCAGGAAAGATGATGAGAATGGTGATACTACAAATAAGAAATATGGTGATACCCATTACATTATATAACATTTTGTGAAATATTTCCTCAGATATTGTGTGAGCCTCATTATAACCCTGCTTGGTGGGGACACAGGATTCTACTATTTTTATTTTGTAGATGAGGAAACTTAGGCTCGCAAAGTTTAAGTGATTTACCAAAACCACCCAGCTAGTGAGTGGCAGTACTAGAAATCAAGTTCAGATTCACCTATTCTTTTTCACTGTACCCTCCTCTCTCACTGAAGAAGGAATAAAGATAGGAGGTAACAACCCAAAAGAAGACAGCCACCAAGGCAGTCTGGAAATAATGGTCCTGTCCTACTTACTGCTAGCTCAGGGACCTTGACTCTCCTGAGCCTCAGTTTTCTTATCTCATGAATGCAGACAGTTAATCCTGACAAGACTACAAAGTAGGAGCTGATGAAATCAGACTTATAAAGTACCTGACACAGTGTAGGCCCTCAGTAAATGTCAGCTTTCCTTCTCTTGCCCATCATCTTCCCTAGGATTGTGTAATCTAATTTCCAGAATTCTGTCACACATCTCCCAAATTTAATTGTGAATTAAAATTTGAGCAGTACTCTCTAAAAGGTACTCTGTATACCTGCCAGAGAAAAGTCTGTACAACTTGGTATATTGGGTTTGTCACTTAATGTCACTTACTTGAACAATGTGATAGCTATAATAATCTGGGCAGGTCTCTGAGCTTCCATTTTGTCATCTGTAAAATAGGGATTATTATCCCAGTTATCAGGAGAATTAAGTGAAGTAATATATATGAAGCACTAAGAGTATATCTGACACACAATGGATACTCAGTAAAGAGTAGCTGTTATTATTTTGAAATCTAGTGCCTGGTCCTTGGTGTATGTTTACTAAGTGGCAGTTCCTTCAGTGGAAGACTTAGGACTAGACCCTAGATCTCCTGACCCATGCCTTTTCCACTGTATTTATAGCACTTTAATAACATTTCACTTTTTTTTCCTAAGTGATAATATATGTTTTAATGGGTTCAAGTGGAATGAATTAGGATGTAGGCAAGTTTTGTTTTATTTCCTCTCATTGTATTCCTCCTCTTCTCCACCGCTCGTGTACACAGTACTGAATTGTACATCCTTAGATTCAGGAGGGCCTTTAGAGGCCTAATTTCCTCATTTTGCTGATGAAAAAACTGAGGGTTGGAGAAGTGAATTGGTACATGGATCATATAAGGCAAGTATTTTTTTTTTTTTTAGCATACAGTGTTATATTAGTTTCAGGTGTACAATATAGTGATTCAGCAATTCAGTACATCACCCTATGCTCATCACAAGTGCCCTCCTTAATCCCTATCACCTATTTCACCCATCCCCCCACTGGCCTTCCCTCTGGTAACCATCAGTTTGTTCTTTCTAATTAAGAATTTGTTTCTTGGGGTGCCTGGGTGGCTCAGTCGTTAAGCATCTGCCTTCAGCTCAGGTCATGATCCCAGTGTCCTGGGATCGAGCCCCACACCGCATTGGGTTCCCTGCTGCGCGGGAGGCCTGCTTCTCCCTCTCCCACTCCCCCTGCTTGTGTTCCCTCTCTC